TTAAAGTTATTAAACACCTCAGCATTTTATCTATTATATAGAAAAAATGTCACTGATTAACTATTTTCTGCCCTCTTCTCAGAACTCCAAGGCGACCTGATTAAATTCTACAGAAAAGGGTGTAGTTCAATACCTCTGTCACCGCTTCTTGAAGATATAGAGACACCTCTAGCTGGGTTCTACGTGATGCCAGAGATAGTCGCCGTACAAAATAAGTCCCTAACTTGTCATGAAGAGGACAGAACACCGATCAAGTCTTTGAAACACCTGTTTTCAACCGGAAGTGCAGATCAGCTAGAAATTTATCTATCAGCTGATGCAGGCTTTGGAAAAACTGCTTTTTCAAAATATCTTGCAATCACGTGGTGTCAAGCCCATCGTCCAGACGAACAATACGATGTTAATGACAGTTTTAAGGATAATGGGTTAAAAGCACTATCTAAGTTTGAGTTCTTATTTTTGGTTTTCTTAAGAGATCATACATCTGTTTCTCACATTGACGATATGATTAGACAGCAATTTTCTTTGCATCTTCCTTCATTGAAATCACTAGATGAAAATTCGTGTAGAGCAAAACTAAATGAAGTTTTAAGTAGAGAAAAATGCTTGATTATATTGGACGGTCTTGATGAATGGACTCACCCTGATAATAGCTGTAGCGAAGTAATAGCAGAAATCCCACATCGGTGCGTACGTGGTAATTGTGTGATCTTAACGACAACTCGACCGTGGAAGCTGGGAGTCTCAAATCTCAAAACAAGTCAATTGGACAAAAAAGTAGAATTGATTCAATTAAGTGAAGACTCTATGCTAAAACTACAAGAAAATGCTATAAGAAAAATGACCGGTGTCCATGACAATAGCGTACTGAAGAGTAAAACACAGGACTTTGATACATTGATACGTGACCGTCGCCTAGAGCACATGCAGGTGATTCCACTCCTCCTCATGTATACAGTTTGCCTATGGTGCAACAACATTCCTATAGGAAATTCAAACCATGAAATTTACACAAATATCATTGAATTTCTATTATCGAGAACGTCAAAGAAACACCCGGAAGTTCAACCATCTCGTGAATCGTCTGCCAGTGAAATTCCAAGTTACTTCAAAAGTCATGAATTTTGTAAAAAGTTTTACAGTCTTATAACATCATTAGCAGAACTAGCTTTCCAAACATTATTTAACAAAAAAAGAGAAAATACGCTTGTATTTGATAGAACGGTTGCTGATAAATATCTCAAAACAGACGACATGAAATTAAGTCTTTTCTCAGGAATACTGTCAGAAAGTAGAAGTAAAACTTTAATTAAAGAAATTATTAAAGTATCGTTTTCTCACAAAACAGTTCAAGAATTCTTTGCCGCCATATTTATAAGTTCTCAAAGTGACGCTCAGAAAACTGTCGTAGAAAAATGTAGAACTGTTCAAGATATTCTGGACATGTCAAAAATTTGTGAATTTATAAGTGGAATGAATGCTGACTGGATGTGTGAAATATCAAATGATTTGATGTCTGTGATAAATGAAGACGAGATAACACGCGACTATAGAACTAGGACACGTGGCGAGGACGTGTACAATACTCCATTGTATAACATACAGAAAATGTTCATGTCGTGTTTACAAGAAATGCCTGAAAGTGAAAATATTCAATTATGTTTAAAAGATTTCTTCATTGACAACGACACCGAGCACAGTGAGCAGTTACAACGTTTATTCAAACAAAATAAAACCAACATAAAATCACTTTATATAGAAACCATGTTTACTTCCAGCAGTTTATGTGAAATTATAGATTTATTCTCTCTCACAGATCTCAGTCATATACAGAAACTTTACTATTATGGTGGCAGAGGGAATAAGGCTGAGATAACCCAGATTTTGTTTCCCAGTTTACAGTATGTTACTTTGTCGGGCGGTACATGGACAAATGATGAAGAAAATCTGAGTGAAAATTTAGCTCGAGTACAAAAATTACAATATTTATATATTAACGACTTCACGTTATCTAAAAAAATACTGGAACCATTTTTCAATTTTATCTCCGCTCAAAAATCAATGAAAGAGTTAACATTGTCGGGGTTAGACTGTAAAAAACATGGCAACCATGATTGTAAGAGATGGAACTTGGACTTGTCTCAACATTCAACTCTATCAAAGTTAGTATTGCTGTATTTACCTGGGAGGCTACAATTAAATATAACAACACCGTCATTAGTTAATGTTACGTTGTGGGAACATCGGTTCTAGATGAAAGTTCATTGTTACTGTCACGTGACATGGTTGAATGTTGAACGTGTGGAGTGTTTGGAGAAGAAGAAAAACTGTCTCAGAAATTTTAGAACTTTTTATTGTGCTGGAAAAATCTGCCCGCAGTCAGTTACCGTAGAGATGGGTTCGACATTTTTACCGGAAAAACAGAATAATATACGTGTTTATAGAAATATTCGGAGTTCACAACTTTTCATGTGAAAGAATTACGACCAAAATTGCACTGGGCGGGGACGGGTGATTGAGTTCAAAACAATAAAACCAAGTAAAGAATAGACACGGAAAAACATTGTTAAATAAACTAAAGAAATATCTTCAATGATTTTAATTAATAAAAACAATTAAAATATGGACACTTAGAAACAAAATGTCGACTCATCAAACTTTAATTAGGACATTCATGTACTTCCGTTTTTAATTAATAATTTATGTGACAGTTGTTTATAAATAAAAACATTTAATTAATAGAAATAATTCAAGGAAGTTTTTAAGGAATTTCAATGGATATAAAAGATGGATTAGGATATGAAAATATTTAACAGGTAAGTGATTTTATATTGAATGTTTTATTTTTTAATTATTTTTATATACATGCATATGTAAGAACTGAAATAGATTATTAACAGTGAACAATACTCTTATATAAAAACTTTTACTTGAAAAAATATTTGATATGAAAATAAATAAACTTTTTAATTAATATTTACCATGGATTTTTTATCCCGATTCAAAATAAAGTATTTTTTAAACATAGTATATGTTAGTCCTAATTATAAGACCTATACGTAACCTATTTCATATTTATCATTCATTAATCTGATATTTTACATTTTTCATTTTTGATGTTACGTTAACAAGCCTGTAACGTCTAATATATTGGACTAAGTCTATTTATACATAGGTTATCACAGGTTATTAATTAACTCTCCATTATTTCCTATACATTTTATTAATTTAAAAATTAAGATTGTTTTTCTTTTCTTATTATCGGAAATATTGTTCTCGCTAGATATTTATTTTTTGTAACATTAATTGCCAGACTCTTTAAATTATTAATTAATTGTAAAAAGTGTCATCTTTAATAACATTAAATGCTGACCTGTCAACAAGTTTCCTTTAAACCATATAGTAGCCCTAGGGTTAGATCTAAACTGACTCAGTATGGTGGTGGGGGGGGGCATAATTTTTTTTTCTCATAATTAAAGTCATCTTTTCTAAATCAATCAATACCAAAGCTAAGGTATTTTGAATTAAACAGTGTCTAGTTTACCTGTATCAAGTATGTTTAAATTAAAGTCATTGGGTCAATGTTTGCCCAACGGGGAGTGGGGGTATATTTTCCTTAAATGTACTTGTAACATTTTAGATATTCTTCCCTTATACAATGAAGGTTTAATCTTAGATAATTATTTGTCAAGACACATACTCTAGTGGAAATCAATCAAGTTTGTTAAATTATAGCTGTTGGATTAAAAGGAGGTCATTAACACATAAAACTTTAAAAATTATTTCAATTCACATGGGCCTAAAGCTTAGGTGTTTTACATTGTCTTGTGTTCCTCCAACAAGTTTATACAAAGGGCAAAATTTCCCTGGTTTGCTGGGGGGTGTATATTGTCTTTGTACATATGTATGTATGTAGAGTAAAACCAAGATAGATATTTAAATTCTCTAAAAATATTAAAGGCTAAAGCTAAGAATATTTTACATGAAATATTGTTTTTGTGGACCACTATTAAGTTTGTTCAAATTGTAGTCCTGGAGGTCTCAATTGAACAAGACCCCTGCAAGGTTTTAATTTTTATCTGATACAGCAGATGATACAAAGAAAACCCATTTTGCCGAGGGTCAAGGGTGATACTTTAATGAGAATACAACTGATTTTAACAGAATTTAACCGATGGTTTGAATTGCCAAACGGTTAATAATGAAAACCCTGCCCCAGGAGTCTTAGAATTTTTATAATACATACGCGTATGCATTTGTATACTTAAGATTAAAATAATCAACTCTTATAAAAACATCGAGACTAAAGCTTACGAACTATTGGCATGAACTATTGTCTTTTGAATTCTAGCAAGTTCAAATTATAGAATCAGGGTCTATATTGGCCCTGACCCAAAGAATCATGGATTTTCCTTAAATGTCTATAAACCTTTCCAAACGACCATTGCTATTTTAAAACTTAGCAACCCTTAACTTCTATAGCAACTAATGACATAGATTATAACAACCATTTACTTTCCATAGCAACCACTGTTTTTAAAAGCAACAGTTAACTTTCTAGTGCAACAAGTGACTTTTATAGCAAACCATTGATTTCTATAACAAAGTTTGACTTTTCTTAGCAACCAGTGATTTCCATAAAGCAAAAAGAAAAAGAAAAAGCTGAGCGTTACAGGTCCGGCTTTGCGGTGACTTTTATCTTAATTGTACAATATTTCAGAGGCATAAATGAACTGTGTGAAAATTATTAGTTTCAGATTAGAATCAATATCTGCTTTTCATTCAGAACTTGTAAAATTAATTGCTACATGTCAGTTTGAGCCTTTATAATCAGGTGAGCGACATAAGCTTCATCAAAACCCTCTTGTTCACAAACATTTGACTACATTAGAATAAAACATTGTTCTGCAAATTGTCCCCATTAAATAAGGATACATGTATGCGTTTTTGATCTTTGCGTCTCATAAAAATTTCTCTCCCAATTTCCCAGCGGCGTAGAATTGGACAATAATCTTTGTGATGCAGAATAAGGAGTTGTGTAGTTATAGATTATTTCGAGCAACAAAAATATCATGTTTCTTTGTTGACAAGGTAAGCTTTAAATTATCTTTATGATTGACAAATCAATTAAGTCCAATAAAGATATTAAAATAAAATATCGAATAAAGCTTCCATGCAAAAGACAATTGCCTTATTCAACAATTTTTTAAATGAACAATTTTTAGGGAAATTGTTGAAAAAAAAAATTAATTTTACGCCAAGTTTTGTAAACCGAGTTTCCATACCATCTGAGTTTAATACCTCTTAAGCATAGTTTAGAACTAGTTATCTTACGAATGGTCTGTGGTTCTACTTGGATATCAGCTTTTACGCCAAATAGTTAAATTCACTTAGCTGACAACAGGCCGTGATTCTACTCAGATGTCGGGTATTATGCACAAATGACTTACAGCAGGCCCGAGGTTTTTACTTTGATGTCATCGCATGCCTATATTTTACTCAGTTGGCGGACTGTATTCGGATATCAGCTTGTGCCTCTTAAACGGATATCCGCTTATGTGAAATAGTTAAATTTATATGACTGGAAAAGGCAGTGGTTCCACTTAGATGTCAGCTCTTGCCTCATATGATAAAATGCAGTTGGCTTACAGAGGCTTGTGACTCTACTCAGATACCAGCTTATGCTTAAAAAAATCAATTCAGCTGGCTTGGGGAAGGTGTTATTTTCAATTCAGTTCCTTCACGGAATGCCAGAGGTTCCCCTCTGAAATTGTCAGCTCATGCCTATATTAATTCCATTAAGTTGGCTGACTTTACTCTGAATCCAGCTCGTGCCTAAATAATTCAATTAAGTTTGCTTACAGATGGTCCGTTAGAGTTTTTAATTTTGTATTTTCAAGCTAATATGCTTAAAAATAATTTCATTTTCATTTGGCCGGCGGAAAATGGTGTTTATTCAATTCAATTTGCTTACAGAATGGTTGTGGTTTTCTACTCATATGTCAGGTCGTAGAGATATAATGATCCATATAAAGGGCAATTTCAAAAATATTCTATCCATATTTCCATCACTTTATGGCAACTATTTTACAAAATGAAGGAGACTTATAGGTGATTAGGCTAGATGTATTTATATATAGAGGATATTGAATGAGTGTTAGGTTAAAATACTGAATTTATTGCACGAGCTGACTAAAATTATATTATGCGAGCCTCTTGCAGGCATAATATTATTTAATTCAACGAGTGCAATAAATTCAGTAATGAACTTACTCGAATTTAGTATTTTATTTATCACATAGCCAAAACAAAGACCGTTTAAAGTGAAATAAGAGTCATTTTTCATTGAGCGCTAAAGTAAAACGCTTACATTTTGAGTGTCTTTACGCTGTTTGATAACGCTAATGACGTCACATCAAAATATATGCACGACAATGCAATACCATATTTACGGAGTCGCAGAATCGGCACGGGTGTGTGATAAATATGTTATATAATTTGATTAACAAAAAAATGTTCACACATGCCACTATAATATTAATAAATTGCTTAGTTACTTACGCGTATGGAATTTCATGATTTGCATTAACTTAGGATCACCTTAAATGTGTATGAATCATAAAACAAATAAATATATGTTATTATACTTAATAAATCCTGTAGTCTACACTGTTACACACTGTTATATTTCGAATTTCTCATTTATTCTTTACACTTTTATTCAGATAATCAGCTCTAGTAAATCTACAGTGACAATGATGATAATGCTTCTACTAGAGTCCAATATGAATTCCTGGTTCCTTGCTTTACAGAGACATATCCAAAAGAATATTGTTTAAAAACAGTGCATCACCAATACCTTGTACAATCTTCTAGTTCCTTGTTGAAACAGAGGCAGACCAGCAAACTTTTGCATTGTTTGTACTTAAACTTGTTTTCTTCAAGAAGAATTTACTTCTGTAAAGAAAGTTCTTACCAAGGCCGCTGTCAAATATTTAAAAATTTACACTGATTTTTAAATGTCTTGCCATTTAGTTCTGACAACTGTGCATTGCACTATAACTATAGTGGAATGTCCTGCTAGGTTCCAGATGAGCATTCCAGCAGTACATTTTTATTTTTTACACTATAAATGATTTACACTGATTTTTAAATGTCTTGCCAATTAGTTCTGACAACTGTGCATTGCACTATAACTATAGTGGAATGTCCTGCTAGGTTCCAGATGAGCATTCCAGCAGTACATTTTTATTTTTTACACTATAAATGATATTTTTGGAATGTCCCACTTATCTGCTCTGCCAGCTAAGCATAAAAGGACATTTATTGTACACTACATAACAGAACACCCTCCCGGTTTGCTCTTTTACCTTAGCATTCAAAAATATCCTTCTGAAAACTTTGTTTGTAAACTACTCACATACCTTTAAAAAACACAAATGAAACTTGTAAAAAAACACTTTTTAATTTAAGTGTAAATTTAAGTGGATTGGTCTACCATGCGCACAATTTCCATAAGTATTGATAACAAGACCACAATTAGACAATAAGAGATGTGCATTTTGGTTATATTTTGGAAATATTGAAAGATTTTTAAAATGATTTAGTTTGGACATAATATATAATTGTTCTAAAACACTTTATTATACACGTATACTATATATTAATATGTTGTATCGGATCATGTATCTAACACTTGCCAACAACACCCATATACAATTATTTGTGGTTTGCTTTAACATATGATTCTAAATACTTACTATAAAATAATAATTTATGGTATTTAGATCTCACATTATAGACCAATTCACTTATAAGAAAGTATGATTAAAATTTATTTTATTTTAATAAAATTAAATTATGTTCTGCTATTTTAGAGTGAAATAGTAAAACATATCACTACATAATGATTAGCTTTTGAAAAAAAAATCACTATATTGTTTGAGCCATAGTAATTTTGATGAGTATAAGTTTGTTGATTTACTACTTTTTACGCTTACAAAAGGAAAAGGAAATTTGAAAGTTGCAATATAACTACAGTAAAAAGAGCAATAGAGTATATGTTGCACTTTGCTATTGGTTACAACGTATCTTTCAAATAGAATGGTCTGGATTCGGACCAATTTTACTAAATAAGATGTCTAAGTTGTGTCACATGATTAGGTTATCTACCAAGTGTGATCTGGCATAGTATATCACCCTTCAAAATTCAAATAATAAGATAAATCGATAAAAAATTACTGAAAACTAATCTTGGCTACATTACATTATCAGTTTTGTTTTTGTTTTTTTAAAGTAGCAATTTATTATACTTGAAATAAAATTAGGAAATCTACAAACTGTGATCTGGCATAGTGCATCAATATTCAAAATTTTACTTATAAGATAAATTGATAAAAGGTTACTAAAAAACTAATTTTGGTTACATTACAGTATCAGTTTTTACTTTAAAAAGTAACAATTCTGTAGATTTTCAATGGAATTTGGATTTTTTTCATTCCCGGTGACAAGGTAAAAATCTCAAGTTTCATAAACTTTTTTTAATTATGCATTGTTCAATGGCAAACTAGAAATTGATTTTACGGAGAAAAAAATGTTATTTAATAGTATCATGTAAAGATGATTTTATAATATTTCACGATGTTATTACCAAATATTTGATGTTAAATTTGATGCAATTTCAAAAATGGCGTCGTGCAAATATGCTATGTCTTTCAACAGATAATGGCTTTCTGACCTTATTACCTGAAATATTTATTTTTCTTTCACATGTTTAAAGATTTTTAAAGAACATCATATTGTCAGAATTTTCATTTTGCTCATGTATATAGGTTTTTCTCCTTTTCTTGAACACTTACATAATTTGCATATAGAAAACTATACGGAGTTATACCAAGACATGTTATATTGTGGCGAGAAGGATTAACATGGCGCGTTTCCAGACCATTCTATTTTAAGATAAAAATATATCATTGGTTGGATGACTCAACAAGTTATATAACCAAGATAAAATGGCTGTAATTTAATATATAACCGATGCTTTCGGGTTTTATAGCAAACAGTTTTTTTATAAATGACCGTATTAACTTTCAGAAGTCTTATTTACAAAATTAAACAAATGCCTCCTTGGTGTTATAATGAGAGGTGAAAAAAGTATCTTTAACTTTCAGCAGATATGTGCGAAAGTGGTGTATAATATATTAATATTAATAATCAACGCTGCCAGTATTGTGAGAGTTGTTATCATTTACAATTGTCTGTATATCTGTAACATTTCTCCATAGTATACTTATGTCACTTGCATGCAAGAAAATAAAAATTCTTTATTAGTTCTGTTCAGATGTGTCAATTATAAGTTGATCTGTATACACGTACATGATATATTAATGCATAGCTAATCCATGTTCTAGTAAGATTTGATGTTGTTTTATTGTCTGCTCAAGTATATACAGATGTTTATAGCTATCTATTAGTTGTCAATACTATTTTTTTATGTGTTTGAGGTACATAATTTATATTCAGTGATCAGAAAATGACATGTATATTACTTACCTATGTATATGTAATAAAGAAAATTACATACATTCATGTACATCCAGAAGAATGGGATATTGTCATGCTACTATGACGTGAAATATGGCGAATTATGGTCATCATGGCCTCTTACTTTAAGAGATGTTTTTTGTGTGTATATGTATATAGTTACCTAAGTATGATTTTGTATAATTTACAAAGACAAGTATTTCTGTATTTTGTGTATGTATTCAATATAGCGCCTGTTCTCTAAAACCACAATCATATCAGTAGTAATACTCTATACAACAAAGTTGTAAAGATTGTAATAAATTACTTATACTTGGTTCATTATGGTCATCATGGCCGTCTTGTTACTTTTTTTTATTTTTGTATACATATAGTTTTCGTAGTGGAATTTTGTATAATCTACAAAGATAAGTATTTTTTTTATTTTGTGTACGTATTCAATATAGCACCCGTTCTCTATAAAACAATCATTAATTATATTCTCATACAACAAAGGTGTTTAAGAAGTTATTATTAAGAATCACCTTAGTTTTCTTTCATGCCTTTCATATTAAGTTTTGTCCCTCCGAGGTTAATTTTTAAAGTGCTGAAGTTAAGAACTTAAAAATTCATAGATATATAAATCTCATTAAGAAAACTGCAGTGAACTATAAAAATCATACCCTCTTATAACACATTTTAGACGTAAAAACACTTTAAAGTTTGCAATGCTTAATTTTTGTTTCGAACCTTTGAGGTAAATTGCTGTCTTGTGCACATTTTTAGAGTTATTGCCCATTAGGCTTTGTAAATGTCCATATTTCATTTATTGCCGGGACACAACTCGTACATAATTGAATGTATCTACATGAAACGTTTTTGGTAGTTCTAAATATCTGATTGAGGTATAGGCGATGTGTAAATTTTGTAGTTATTCACCTTTGTAACTGTTTATACTAAATTTTCGTGTAGAGCATACATTTAAAGGCACATTATGCATAGGAAATCTGTTTTTATTCAACTCATTAGAAATGTCAAAAATGTGTTAAATAATATTTTACAATGGATTTAGAACATGTTAGATGTTTAACAGCTGGGGAAAGTAGCGCTGAATGTGCAGTTTTATGTCCTAAAGTTAACAAAATGTAAACAAAATAAGTAGTTTTCCTTTCATACAAAATTATAATTCACTACAATAAAACCAATCTCCAACAAAACAGCTTGATCAAAGATGGTTCAATTTCATGACGAATGAGTTTTTTGTTTTGAAACTGTAACAAGATACTAAAAATAAAGTTAAAAAAAAAAGATTTCTGAGGCATAATGGACCTTAAAGTCCATATCAAGTTGAACATGAAATATCATATTATCATTCTGACAAAACGGCTTTCAAGGTCATTGCAACTTATTTGCAATGTTATAAAACTATTTGAAGATTTATATTGACATGTTATGAAGAAAATTTATGACTTTTTTTAAGTTGGTTAAATGTTGGTTAAAGGCCCATTATATATCAGAAATGCTATCATTTTATTTCTTATTTTCATCAATCTGATATTTACAACAGATTTGAGCTGGGTCGGGTGGGGGCTGCGTTCATTGAACGCCGTCTTTCCTTGTCGATCTTGTTTATCATATTTTGACATTTTTACAAGTATTAAAAAATGTTAGAATTACGATATTACTGTTTTACATATTATTAAGTAAAGGGAGATAAATCTGAAAAAGTACATTTTGTATATGTTATAATAATTATACTATCAGTACTGATTATGATATGTTTACAGAAATCTTATTTTTTTATAAATTTATGTTCTATACATGTAGTTTATATCATAGTTCATATATTAAATAAAAAAAAATTGTGAAACAACATTGCTGTTTTAGTAATACAATATACAAATGCACGTAGAAAGGTAAACTTGGGGTATGTAGCTGTACACAATTATCCTGGATGTTTTGTCCTATTGGGGAAATACTCATTATGTAGCACCGGTACTGGTTTAATCCAGGAATACATAGTACACACATGATTGATTCTCAATCTTAACAAGTTCGAGTGGTCGTATTGTACAGATGCAAATTGTTGAAAAGCAATAATTAAGGTGGCTTTATTATGAAGGTACAATACACATGATATATGAACCAGAGTGACAAAGATAGAAACCTTTTGATTGATGTTGTCTAGAAAGAGAGAAAGAAGAAAAAAACATTACAAAATTACTTAGATACACAAATCAAATGCTGGCCACTTGATGAACACTTCTAGTTATAAGAAAACCTAGCAGCATTATAAAAAAGAGAAGTAGGATGGAAACAATTATTGCTATATATGCATACCCCATAACTAATCAAGGGCCATATGACTAATCAAGGGCCATAACTTTGTGTTGAAGGGTCTGACCGGAACAAGGTGACGATATGCACATCTCGTCTTGGTACTGATGGTTCCCATAGTTTCTTGAATTCCTGCCAGTAGTTGCACAGAAGAAGTGCGAACACGGTTATTGCTCTATATGTACAATCAAGGGCCTTAACTCTGTATTGATGCGACTGACCTAAACAAGGCAACAATATGCCAATCTCCTCTTAGTGTTGATGTTTCCCATAAAGTTTCGTTGAATTCCAGCCAGTAGTTGCAGAGAACTAGCGCTAAAACGAAATCCGGACGGACAAATGGAAAGCATCTATATACAAGAACCAAACCTAGCAATCTGACTGAATAGTGAAAGTACCAAACAATTTTTACAATAGATTCATAGTGTTTCTATCGTAATATCTTGGAACCCCTAGAAAGAAGAACAAGATATTTATATATTTGGAATGAGTTATCTCGTGGCCACAATATATCATGTCGTTTTTCCTCTGTGTAACCGTACCATACAGATACAAAATGGCTATTGTGATTCCATTTTATGCCCTCATGAGTTATTCCCCTTTATAACTTGATATTAACATACATGTTCTGCTCAAGCACTTTTACTATTTAATAAATATATGCTGAAAGCAGAACGCCTCCAGATTCATGCTAATTTTCATGAAAATTTGAAAATGTATTACAGTATAATATTTCAAGTTACCAAAATAATGTAATTAACACATTATCAATGGCACTTAAAACCCAATGTCCTGTACATTGATATAAAGAGGTAAATAAATATGCAAAAATAGACCGTTCTGCATTAGTAACGCAGTAGAAATATAGTTATAAATACTGAAAAACTGGCCATTAATCGCTAATAACATGTAAATTATTACTAGAATTTTGAATCTTTATACCTTTCCTAAAATCTTACTACATTTTTCTCAGGTTTGATTTTATCGAAATATTTTTGCTCATTTGGAGGCAGCTTTAATTTACAAAGTGTTCTAAACATAAAGAATATTTTGCATAATGATTACAAGATAATTCAATGATGTGACTGACTTTGTAATATATCTCGGACAGGTTTAGAGTCTGTTTAAATCACTAAATGAATTAACAAAACTGACTTAAATTAAATTGTTGCTTATTTCCGAGATATATTTATAATTGATTCAGGCTTATTATTTATACATGGTAATTAACAAGTTGTACGTAAAGTGTAGACATGTCGTTTATTCCCCCAAAGTTTTGATACTAATGTCAGTAATCAGTTTTATGTAGCTCAATGTTGTCAAACATTCTTAACGAATAAAAGTTGTATTATATCACTTTAGAACTAAGATTATCATACATCCAAACTGCTGAAGGTTTTCACAAGACTTGAATGGAAGTAACTATAAGAGGCCTATAACTTCAGAAAAGAAGTCATGCATTCTCATTTAATAAATTTGATGCATTAAAAGTAATTATACAATTTTTTTATTATATGCATATTTAAAATTTTAATATGGCCTAGTGACTCGAGTGATATCAGCTGACAACCACTAATCTTGTCGCAATGTAAATCTGAATTGATATGTTATGAGACAAAATAAATACAAAGGTATTTTCTAAAATTCTAAATTTTTTGATTATCTAAACCTCGACAAGCAAGGTCAATTAAAGGCCTAGGTCATATCAGAATAACTGAAAACTGTCTGTTTTATCTTATGTGTTCTTTTGTCCAAGTATGAACAACATCTGTGAATAATTTATGTCACACAAGTTATCACAAATCAAACTTTTAGGAATGCAAAAATAAATTGCTAATAACAACAAAAAACAGACGCATTGCAATGACAAAAGCTTACCTCTCAAAACAAAGTGCTCAAGTCAGCAAAAATACTCAAGCCTTGACATCGTTGTTAGCATTTATTTTTCTTTATTTTCTTTACAATTTAAAAGAAAAAAAGCTTTCAGTTTGCTTGTTTGTACATTTAACACAAGTCTAACTGCTACATATAATAAATTATAATTAAATTTCCTCCTTCATTATCTTACACTAGTACAACTACAAATGAGCCGCGCCATGACAAAACCAACATAATGGGTTTGCGACCAGCATGGATCCAGACATGCCTTCGCATCCGCGCAGTCTGATCAGGATCCATGCTGTTCGCTTACAAACCCTATTACAAGTAAAGTAACTGATAGCGAACAGCGTGGGTCCTCATCAGACTGGGCGGATGCGCAGGCTGGTCTGGATCCATGCTGGTCGCAAACCCACTATGTTGGTTTTGTCATGACGCGGCTCAAATATACTCGTATATGTATAAAACAATCATTCCTAAGTACACTTACCCCAGTACACACTAAATTCACGTTTAAAGTTTTTATATCATAAACTAAATGTTTTACCGTTGCATGAATTTATTCAAAACAAAAAAACTGTCGGAGGACAGTAACGCTTGACTACGGTATTCGAACAGTTGTCACAAGGGTGTTTAATTGAGTATAATAATGCTTAATTATAAGATTACAACAAATTGTCCGAAAAGGTACAAAGGCTTGTTATTAAGATGTTTAATCGACTTAATCACTGCTTTATTATTATGAATGCATAAAATTGTCCCAAAAAAGGCACAAACCCTTCAGTAGTTATAGAGATACCAGCTTAAAAGCAAAACCTTTACCAAGAATTTCTAAGCCAAAAAGGGGCATAAATATGAGAAAAAAACAAATCAAGAGATTTGGGACTTGTGCCAATCATGTTGGATAATCACAGAGAACAAGTGTGTGAAGTTTCAATCCGTTCCCTTCAGTAGTTATAGAGATACCAGCTTAAACGCAGAAACTTTATCAAGAATTTCTAAGTCGAAAAAGAGCCATAATTATGCAAAAAAGCAAATCAGAGTTATGGGACTTAAGCCAATCATGTTAGATAATCACAGAGAACAAGTGTGTAAAGTTTCAATCCATTCCCTTCAGTAGTTATGGAGATACCAGCTTAAACGCACAAACTTAACCAAGAATTTCTAAGTCGAAAAAGGGGCATAATTATGCTAAAAAGCAAATCAGAGTTATGGGACTAGTGCCAATCATGTTAGATAATCACAGAGAACAAGTGTGTGAAGTTTCAATCCATTCCCTTCAGAAGTTATGGAAATACCAGCTTACACGCAAAAACTTAACCACAGGGACGCCGACAAATGGGTGACTGCATTAGCTCGATTATTCTGCGAATAGTCGAGCTAAAAATGCATAGCATAAAAATAAAAACATTTGACTTTTACGTCAGATACTTCTTTAAAAATAACATATGAAATAAAACAAAATGTACAGTTCTGACTGATCTATGACACACATTATGGTAAGAACATTCTAGTATCAAAGGTACATATGGCATTACTTTTGTTATAGAGGTAAAAACCCCTTCTTGCTTGTAATAGAGATGTGTAGATCATCATGTGATAGTAATGCTGACACGGACATGCATCAGTTATCAAAGAACAGTAAAATGTTTCTTTTTCCCAAAAATTGGTGGAATAACAAAATTTTCTTTTCTAAATAAAAGACATCATATGCTATTGTCATTTGCTTTTTGCGTATAAAAATATAAGACGAAGAGGTCACTCTAGACATGCAGAACTCATTGTGAAGTCTAACATTAATAGGAGTTAATGATGTATAGTTATATTGACAAAAGGTCAAAAGGTCACTTGGGAGGTTCTCGTAGTCACTTAACATCTCTTCTTTCAATACTTTGACTACACATAAATTATAAATAAAAACGTAATATATATATAATTAATAGATAAACAAATACATAATAGATAAACAAAACTAATGTGACAAGACAGACCGACTAAATTTATAAAAAGGAAACGTTAATATATGTTCAAACCTTTCTGTGTTTGCTGTTAGAAAAAGGAAACAGTCGAGCGTTGCCCCCGCCCGGCGGTGGCTCTTGTTACTCAATTGTCATCAAACTTGGTCAAAATGCTTGTCTAGTTCATTGCTTGGGTAATTAAAAACATGGGTCATCTCGAATGAAAAACTTGGTAATCGGAG